GGCCAGCCACGCGGCAGTTAGGCCAACTAGTTATTTGGGGAACGGGCTGGGGCAGGATCCAGAGGCCCCCCTCCCTTCCATTCAGGCAGGGAGGGGGCAGGTCCATGCAGCCTCAAGTAGAGAGGAGGGAAATAAGATGATCCATTTTCATAAATTTTTCCACAACTTCTGCACTTTTGCTTTTTATTTTTGACCTCTTACCTCCCAAGAATCCTAGAAGATTAAATGCAATCTTTAGAATCTTTTAGCAGGTGATTCAAAGCACATTACCTGCCGGCCATTCTACTGTGGTGAAATGCTGGCATTTCATGAAGGGCGGGGCTCCTGGGCGCCCCACACTAACACTGGGGGCTTATGTGCTCTTCAGCGAGTCCTCAAACTCCCCGTTCTTCTCCCTGTTAAAAGAGGTCCGTGCCTTGTTCCTGAATGTCCTCACATGGTAAACATCAGAATTAATTTTTTTTAAGAAAAACAGAACCACAAAAATGCTATCGAATTGATGTGTGTGCCACTTATAGAGATCGTTTTTAGGAACATGTTCAATCTGAGTGACACTTTAAAGAAAAAGCAAGCATGACTATTCCATGATGAACTCATAGTATTTTCTTCCCTTAGATTACCTTTCTCATCCTCTTCACATCTCTCTTGATAAATGGGTCAGACACCATCATCCCCATTTTACAATTGAGGCAATGAGAGGTTAAGTGCCCGACCGTTGGCAGTAACCAAGATGAGAACGGGACTGAAGTCTCCTGTCCAAATCTGAGCTTCATTTTACCTCCTCCTTAGGGCCAAATTGCTACCTCAGAAACTACCTTTGTCCTTAGTTCCCTTGGCTGTAAAAATAGGGTCATATCATTTCTGTAATAGGCCGTCACTCTTAGAACTAAGATTGTATTATCTCGGGAATTAGAGCCCTGAGTGCTTGTGGCATAAAAATGCTTTATACACTTAGCAAAAAATTAGAACTTTTCTAATGGGGGGGTGGGTTTGAACTGGCTTGTTGATGATCTGAATCATCCCTGACCTAGGATGTGGACTTTGGCAGATGAATCTGAAGGCAGAAAATGTTTCCAGATCCATTCTCATTCAGTACAATACTGGACAAGTTTTAGAAGTCCTTCTTTATGGCATTCCCTTGCTATCACTATGGGCTATTTCCTTCACAGTGCTTCTATTTTTTAATCAATGGAAATTACTCATCACGATTAAAAACTTGTGTGATTATTTTTCCTATCGCGAAATGGAAATTGCTGGAAAATTATTCTGAACTACTTTGCTCTACATTTAGCCTTTAATGCCTTGGTAGAAACGTAAGGAGATGCTGAAGCCGTGTCATTAACGTGTCATTTGCTTCCCTGTTACTTGCCTGACACACAACCCACACCGAGAAGTGTTGCACTTGTCACTTTAAGAAGATCAGTTTTAGGCTATTCATGTTTGGAATGTCGGTGAAGTTAAAAAAAAAAAAAAAAGAATACCTATGACAGTATTCACACATTTTGGCCTAAGAAAACATCATTTTTGCCTGTTTTTCAATGGTCACCGTATGCCAAAATTATTCACTGCTGTCTCTTTAATCCCTCGCACAGGGCCAGGCATATAGTGGGTACTCAGTCCCTGCCAAATGAATACATGGTGTGCTAGTAAGAGGAACGCGAGAGCAGTCTTATTCTTTAACTAAGAAACATGGACAAAGAATTTTCCTACTTCATGATTAAGGTATTATTGGATTAGAAGTCTCCTAAAGAAAGTCTCAGATGAATTTGTGCTCATGAGCCTCCTTTCCAGCCATTTCCAATCAGAGAAAAACAGGTGAGAAAAGTCAGGAGTGCCAAGGATAAGAAGGACGGTTCTGCCCAAACGGATGCTATGTACAGCTGCAGATGTAAAATGAAAGGAGTGGTCTTCTTGTTTGTTAGGACGCCTGTTTGATCTTACCTACAAGTAATACAGATGCCAAAAATTACTACTTTGGGTGTGGAAACCGCCTGTAAATACACATTCACACATTCAAGCTAAGATTATACCTAAAGTGCTTCCTGATGGCGATACTTAATTCTAAAAATGGGGCAGTGTGCAGTCCACCTTCTAAATCTAACGTTATAATCATCTTGGGTTATTTTTATAGCCAACTAAATGAGAAAGTGTAATAGGATGAGGTAGGTAAATTTAAGTTTCTAGAAGCAATTGTGTTTTCATTGTGTTCTACCCTGGAATGTTTTTTGTTGTGGTTTTGTTTGTGAACCAAAGCAAACTAACATTTCTGTGAAGTTTATGGTATTCTAGAGAGGAAAATACTTGGTAGAATGTTTTTTTAACTTCTAATATTTCCAACCTAAATGAAACTTTCACAGATCAAAAAGAGTACAAGACATGTTAGAATACGAGGAGCTCTTTTGTGAGAGTAAGGACAGGTGTTGTAGAGCACTTATTCCCATCCCCGTGGAAAAGGTCAAGTGTAGTTCCACCCTAGGGTACTTTTGTTTCTTCATTAGAAACATTTAAATTTAACAGAATTCATTTTTGAAAAGTTGGATGTACAACTTAAATGTCATAAATGGTACTCACTTCTCTCTCCAACTGTATCTGGGCACACATTCGAACCTTAACGTTTCCTCATCTTTATTAGTATCATTTCTTAACAGTCTTGCCATTACTGCTGCATGAAACTCTGTAAAACATATTTATCTGTTTTCTTGTTTGAGTATATAGTTCCTATATGTTGCTATCAGTAAAACATTACCAATGGACTCATATGCCAATTTAAACTTACACCACTTCAGGGGCGCCTGGGTGGCTCATTCGGTTAGGGTTAGCGTTCGGCTCGGGTCATGATCCCAGGGTCCTGGGATCGAGCCCCGCACTGAGCTCCCTACTCCGTGGGGAGCCTGCTTCTCCCTCTCCCACTCCCCCCTGCTTGTGTTCCCTCTCACACTGTGTCTCTCTCTGTCAAATAAATAAAATCTTTAAAAATAAATTTAAAAAAATAACCTTATACCACTTCAACAATAATGCAGTGTTATGTTTAGGAGCCAAACTTCTAGAGTACTATACTGTATCCCATATTGTGCAATGTATTATTAGGAAGGCCTGCTTTTTCCCAGGACTTCAAGTTCTGTGAAATTATGAGGTGCTTTAGTTATAGCTTGATTCTCACCTCATATGAGAAAAAGTTATAAGCATGTTATCATGGTTGGCTTTGTGTCTCCCTAGGCTTTAGTGTTGTGGTTCTTTTTGGAAGGACTTGAGTCAGGAGTTGGAGAAGAGAAAAGAAATAGTGGACCTGTTCTTTCATTTAAATATGATACCAACCCTTTGCTGCTTGTGCTTTTTGTTAGCTCTTTTGTAGCATTTATTTTGGAGACCTCGTTTCCCCGGTGCAGTATTTTCTAAAATTGAAAGGGAAAATGAAGAATGGTAGAACCTAGGAAAAGAGCTCAAAGTAGGGAAAATGGACTGAGCGAAGGGGTGACTGTCATTCAATCCTATTGTGAACTTATGTCATTGCCTAAGGGGAAATTTGGATTCATTTCAATAACTAGGGGAAGTAGTTAACCATTCAAAAACTCATTCAGATGACCAAATGAGAATTCTTATTGGTACTGCATTTCTCAAGATAAGTAGGCCTTACTCCCCCACCTGTAGATCATTTCCAGAATTGTATTCCTGAAACGTTTAAACCTTAGTACTTAGAACACTGATGGTAGGATATACGTCGTCGACTGATGATGCCGTTCTCCAAGAAGCTGTCTTAGACATTATCTGAGAATATCATCCCCTGTAGGAAAAATTTAAAGTTCTAATCATTTGGCTCTATACAAAGTGGGTAATTTTTCAGCTGTAAAAGTGGTCACAAAGCTTAGCTTTATTTGCTTCCTCTTTATTTTCAAAAATGTATATTGAGATGAATGTTATTAATGTTTACAGAATAGGTGCAGCACTAGGTACCTATATATGGTTTACCCCATCTTCTAGGGCAGTCCTCCAAGAAAATCACTGTACAGTCTAAATCAATTTTATTCTCTATAAAAGCCAATCAGACTTCTACTTGATCCTGCTTCTCATCTTCAAATAATTCTCTTTTCCATTCCAAGCATTTGCAATGGTTATCTTTAAGCAATTTATTTTTGGATGCTTTGTAAAGAAATTCCTGTCCTTTAAATCAGCTAACAAAATTCATACATGTAATTTGTATCGGGTGGGGTTAATTTTCTCCTCATTGAATTGTGCATAGAAGAAGATAGTATTTGGGAAATTTTATAGCCCCCCCCCCCCCGGCTTTTTGGTGGATCGGTATCGCATACTGGCTAGGGATGCAGATCCTGGAGCTAGAGGACACTGGCATTGGTATTTGCTAGCTGTGCAATCTGAGTCAGATGATGTAATCTTTCTGTGCCCTGATTTCTTCTTCCATAAGATGGAAATACTAATATTACCCTACACAGATAGGGTTGTTGTGAGGAATGAGTTAATACATGCAAAGGACTTAGAACAGAACTCTTGGTAAGATCTTGCTGAAAAAGCCAAATCATTATTTCATAGTACGATTTCTTTGTATATGTAAACTAGACTTTGCCATGCATATTAGCGCATTAGCCACACTTTTAAAGAAGGACCAGTAGCCTGGACTTAAAAAGGCAGTACCAGAGTTATTTCAAAATCCTAGTCAATTGTGCAGTTTTTATTTGCTGTGTTCACTTTAAGTCTGGTCTCCTTAGGATGACTTTTCATTACTGAAAGTGCTTTAACTGGCTCCTGTCACGGTGTAGTTTACATGAGTTTTTTAAAGTTTTATAATTCCACGAGTGATTTTTCTTCTGCGAGTGACATTACTCTCAGTTTAAGAGCGGCACTTCTGGGCTGACTCAGGGAAGAAGATCTGGTCTCTTTCATATTCCAAGAGAAACGGCCGCCTTGGGAGAAGCTGTCAGGCAGGCTTCAAGGCTTTCTGGCCCTTGAGACACTGGCTCACCAGTTTCCGTTGATCTGCTTTGTAGCTTGCAGTGCCCCACAATGACGAGTGGACCCGCTTTGCCAGGACCCTCGTGGAGATTCGCGCTAACAGAGCTGACAGTGAGGAGGAAGGCACCGTTGAGTTATCTGCCTAGTGGAAACGAGCCACCCGACCCCAGCCCCGACCTTCGCCTTCTAGAACTCGGCTCTGCCGTCGTCGATCCCACTTGGCATTCAGCGTCCATTCAGCATCAGTGTTGCGTGACCTTTTGGGTGTCCTATTGTGCTGGCTTTGCTCCAAGTATTCCAGATGTATCCCACCCCGCTTTCCACTGACCTGCCGTTCACCAGAGCCTTTCTATCTTTGTATTTCTGTCTCAAAAATTGGGGGGTGGGGTGTAGGCTTTACGGGTTTAGTTGTTGCCTTTTAACTACTTAGTAGCTGTATTTAATAGCTGGAAACCTCTGGTTAAATTTGTTCTTACATGCACTTCTGGCATAGTCCTATTAAATCCATATGAAGCCACATATGATTAGGTGCAGATGTGCTGTGCTTCATGATATGGTACAGGGCCAAAGACTTGAGATGTGGTGTTTTCCACGGTGACTCACGTTATGGATGGATTTACTAGAAGAACATTGCTGCTCCTTATTTATTGTGGTGTGCTGCATGGAACATATTTATTTGAAAGCATTAAAATAAACGATCCTAGAGCATGTGCATAATGAGAGGACCGTATTGTCTCTCTGCTGCTGTTGAGGTTGCATTAAGTTCCAAATAACAATTACAGTATGCCGGTTCCACTGAGGACAAGAAATCTTTAGAGGTTTGTTGCAGTGAGCAGAATGAATTTTAATGCCTATTACTTCTAGGTACTTTAACAATATTTCAAATGTAGTTGACCACTGATACTTGTCATTCAAGCTAACACAGTCCAACAAAAATCTGTGGTTCCTGAATATGACACCAGTGTTGCCAATAAAATGTTCCAAACCAGGTCTGCACCAGCGTGGATAAATCCTTTGCTTGGGGAAAGCCTGACTGGAATTTTGCTATGACAAGAGGGTGGGGGAGATACGTTAAGGCCATGTTAAAGATTGATAATGAACTTACAGGCAGCCAGCCTGGCTGGACTTAAACCAAGACTCTGGTTTTATTTTTACGAGGGAACGTGTGTGGTTTTTTGGAAAGCTTTCCCTTACCTCCTTCACCAGAGCCACTCCTGCCCAAAGACGGTCTCAAATGTTGGAGTAAGGAAAATAGGTTAAGGTGAACAGATACCAAATGTTCTGCACATTTCTTCAAATTTTTAAAAAATTTACACCAGAAAATTATGTTTATTGCTATTGGACTAGGCAATATGTCTATAAAGAATTAATAGAAAATTTTCTAAAAAGTCATTTCATGCCTCGAGAGAATACAAATAAATAGTGGTTGAGTCATGAAAAACATCTGAAGACAGACTTTCAGCTTTTCAGGAAGAGAATCTCCATGGTGCTTTGGTGGTAGGGACTCCTTTAACTGTGAGATTTCTTTTAAAAATAACGGCATGCTTTTGCTCTAAGTGCCCTATGGTATATAGATACTGACATTCTTGGAAGGCAGGAATTAAATGTTTGAAGATAAAATATGAGGGTCTTAAATAGGTTTAAAAGCAGTCCAATAAAAGTACCAGGGGAAAAAAAAGTTTCTCAAGCATACACTAAAGGACCAAGAATAAATCAATAATCCATGAGCTGCTGTTACAGGCCAAACTCTCAATGATTCCATGAGTGAAGACCGAATGGTGAAAAGGCCAGAGCCTCCTGTAGTAAGCACATGAAACATTACGTGAGTTTATATACATACACATCCCGCTGTGGTAGCGAGTCTCCAAAACAGTCTTGTGTAGAGACTCCATGTGGAGTCTGGGCTGAGCTGGCATAAATGATGGCATATGGGGCAAGTGACGCTGTGTGGGGTCCAGGACATGGTTATGAGGAGACTTAGAGCTTCCTTTTGGTCTCTGAGCACACTCACTCTTTGTCCCTAAGTCAAGAAGTACAACCACCTGTGTAAGAGGTAAAACCATCCCGAGACCCCCAGGCCACACATGGGCCCAAGGTGACTGTGCAGTGGCCATGTGGCTAGAGAGATACCCAGCCAGTCCACAGCCACCTCATGTCCTGGATGGAAAGTGGTGGCCATGAAAATTTGCCTCTCTCATCTCCTCCTGCTGACGGCACACCTGACTAACAGCCCCAGCTGCTCTGCTTTGAGATCCATCACCATGTTTGACCAAGGCCATGCTTTCCACCGGCTGCTCGCAGCATGGACAGATACTGAGGCAGGCCTGTTCTTGGGAGATGTGAGACTTCTCTGAGAGGTAATTGGCTCAAGGACTCCCTGTCAGCATTGCTAAAACTTTCTAGAACTGTGCTGCAATCTAAAACTAACCATTCTTCCTTCCCTTCCTCCCTCCCTCCGATCTTTCCCTTTCTCTCAGGGTCAGACCAACATCTGATGGCTCTCCCAGCATAATCTGTCTGGAGAAGACATGCTGGGCCTCATAGGAGAGTAAAGAGACTGAAAATCACCAAAAGAGTTGCAAGAATAAACAAATACTGGGATACCTGGGCGACTCAGGCGGTTAAGTGTCTGCCTTCGGCTCGGGTCATGATCCTGGGGTCCTGGGATCGACTCCCGCATCGGGCTCCCTGCTCGATGGGCAGCCTGCTTCTCCCTCTGCCTGCTGCTCCCTCCTGCTTGTGCTTTCTCTGACGAATAAATAAAATCTTAAAAAAAAAAAAATTAACAAGTACCATTAGGGGCCAGGGAAGCAGCACTGAGACTGGATTTGGAGGGATTTAAGGGAGCCAGAATGTAAGACGGGAGAGGCAAGAATTCACTAACTTTGGCCACTTCTTTGGGATATGCGATTTTATACTCTGGCAAGGACTCCAGGGGATAGTGTGGTTGATCCAGTCGTTCTTAGAAGTCTGGAAAAGCCGTAGCCTACACTTAATGAAGTGAAAATGTGTGAGTTCCCCTGACTGATAGTACAGATAGGAATAAAGAGGTTGAAGGAAGTAGATGTTAGAATAGAAATATTAGGTAAAGCTGGAAGACACATCCAAGTGTTACATAGTAGGGCCCAGAGCACACACCCTTCACCAACACCATCAGCAATGAGGTAGTGAGAAAAACTAAGTATCTTCAGGGATTTTAGTCATGGCCTTCTTTACAGGCCAGGGCTGATGGCAGGAGACACAGTCACAGAGCAGGGCTTGGTAGTATCTGTGGGGATGATGACACCCTGGACTAACAGTGGCCAGGTGGCAGCAGTTAACCCCCAGAAACCAGGAAGCCACAATTACCGTAATGGCCAGCTACATCAGAGGAGCAGCAAAGGAGGCTTTACACGTTCATAGAACATAGCATCCTAAGGGCAAAACAGGCAGCTCAAATGGTGGTTAACATCTATAACTCAAAACATAAAAGCAAGAATGGAGAAGCAAAAAAAAAAAAGGAAAAGAAATGAAAAATTTGGGAGCAAGTGGCTCAAGGCAGTTACCTCAATAGAAAATCATGATCCTCCGCTCATTACCCAGACCAGATCCAATTTTCTGATCTAGAACCCATTGACTGAAGACATAGCTTGCCTAGCAGGAAGGATACATGGCAAACATATTGTGATGATTTCTTCAGTCCTTCCCCAAAGGGACCTATGGCCATTTATTCAGGTCAATGTATAATGCAGAAAGAAAAATCAGATACTTGGAGACCTAGTGGATACAGGGTCTAGGTTCACAATGAAACCCAAAGCCATATCACAGTCCCCCAGTTAGAATGGTAACTTATAGTGACTAGGTAAGATAATAAAGCCCTCTAGGTCACATAGGTCACAAAGGGCTCATTGGGTCTATGGACACATACAGTGACCATTTCCCCAATCCTGAGTGTTCAATTGGAACTGACATACTTGGCATGGGGTCCCTGGCCTCTGGGGTAAGACCTATACAGAAGGGAAGGCCAAGTGGAGGTCTCTGAAACTGCCATACCCCCATCTCCTCCTACCAAAATGGTAAATAAAAAACAGTATTACATCTCAGGGTAGGGCGGGGAGGATGGCAGACATTAGTGACATTCTTAGAGTCCTGGAAGATGCAGAGTGGTGGTCCCTAGAATTTATCCATTTAAGACACCAGTCTGGCCCCTTCATAAGTTAGATGGATCTTGGAGAATAACTGAAGAGTTCTGCAAGCTCAACCAAACAGGAGCTCTTATCAAAGCTGCTGTGTCATATGTCACATCTTTCTTGGAACAGATTAATAAGGCCTCTGGTACATGGTAGGTGGCTGATTGATGAATGCATTATTTTCTATTCCAACTATATAAGATTAGAAACAGTTTGTACTTATGTGGGAAAGAGCACAATACTTATTTACACTTCTGTCTCAGGGCTGTTAACTTCTTATCCTCCACCATATTCTAAATAGGTCTGGACTTGCCTGAACATCCACAGAACATTACATCAACCCATTACATCAATGGCATCACACTGATTAGGAAGGATAAAGAGTTAACTAATGCACCAGAAGTCCAGTAAGGTATATATACTCCAGAGGGTGGGAGATGGATTCAAGGAAGATTTGAGAACATGCTACTTCAGTGGAGTTTTTAGGTACATGCTGGGATATCCCTTCCCAAGTGAAAAAGTGCTGGAGCTTAGAACTCCCAAAACAAGGAAGCACAGCCTGGAAGACCTCTCTAGGTTCTGAAGGCAACACACTCCACGTCTTAGAATACTCAGTTCTACCAGGTGGCATGCAAGGCATTGGGTGGGGCTCAGAATGAGAAAGGACTTTGCAGAAGATCTGAACTGCAGTGCAAGGAGCTCTACCAGGCCATTCAACCAACATTCTATGGTATTAGAAGTGTCACCAGTGGGAAAAGATATGGCAACTTATGGCAAGCCCCAGTAGGGAAATTGTAATAGTGGCCCATGAGGTTCCAAAGGAGAGTTGAGCAATCTGAAGCGAAGAATTATGTAACTTTTGAGAAATAGTGCCTGACATGTGACTGGGTCATGGAAGAAGTAGAGCTCTTCACCATGAAGATATGAAGATACGAGACATCCAAATAGCCCAGCGAGTCCTGGCAGCCTCCCTCACCAAGTTATAAAGTTAGAAAGATCCAGAAGAAACCTCTTCCATAAGATGTAAATTGTGCATCCAGGAGGTACATCTGAGCAGAACCAGAGGGCATGAGTAAGCTGCATGAGCAAGGCACCCAGAAGCCCAATGTCACCCAACAGGATTTCACCAGCACCCCTTTCCCGTGCTTCATAAATGGTTACGTGGGGAGGGTGGGTTCTGTAGGACTGGCTGAAAAAAAGAGGAAAAGGTCCAAGCTTGGTTTACATATGGGTTGGCTCAGTTTGTGGGTGAAAGAATGGGTGACAGCTACATTACAGCCATATTTAAGGGTGGCCTTAGAAGACCTTAAAGAGGGAAAAACTTTCCAATAGAGCTGTAAGGTATGCACATAGTCATCCACTCTGTGTGGAAAGACAAGGGGCCAGGAGTAAGTACATATACATACACTGCCCTAGGCCAAGCCATCATCATCTGTCTCATGAATTCTTGCAAGGATCTCCTGACCTCCCAGCTTCCACCTTTGACCTCTTCAGTCTCTTCCCGATATAGCCGCTTAAATGACAGTTACAACACTGAACTCCTCAGCTTAAAGCACACCAATGGCTTAAGTCATGGGGATATAAAGTATAGCATAGGCAATATAGTAATATTTTAATAACTTTGTATGGTGACAGATGGTGACTACACTTATTGTGGTGAGCTTTTTATAATGCATTAAATGTCAAATTACTATGTTGAACACCTGAAACTAATCTGACATGGTAGGTCAACTCAACTTCAATAAAAACAACCAAACCAAACCAAAACACATGGTTTCTCTCACCTCACTTGGAGTAAAGGCAAAATCCTGATAGTGGC